CATAACTTCATGAACCTCAATTCGATTCTTGACGCAAAGAAAAACGTTTTGCGGGTTGGAAACACTTTTGCATGCTCATTTAGTAGTATAATATTACGATCCGTTACAAGTAATTGAAGAAAGTATGTGCTACAACTCCTAACTTTTCGTCAATTTCAAGCAGATGCCAGAGTAGTACTCTAAACATCGGACCATGCAGACGCGCTTCACTTCCTTTCTCATATAGTCTTCACTAACACTGTTGCAAATAGGCTGATCTACCATCCACATACGCCCATCCCCATAGACAGAGAGAATTAACGTTAGTTCCGGGATGCAGAGGTCAGTTCCGAGACTCCGCAGACATTATAGTTATTTGGAGAATCGTTGCAGGACGTACACCAAATGAGACACCTCATGAGATATTGCAACCGTTGCCCCCAGCAGCGACTATCTGAGAAGTTCGACAGCTCGAATTCCGATTGCGGGTTGTCGACACTAGCTACACAGGAAGGCGGAATTCAGCCACTATCTGGAGAGTCCTAGCCTAGACTGCTCTCACAGCTAAGACTGAGCAATATCGTAATAAATGGGTCACATGCATGATCTTTTCTCTCACATGCATATTCCATCATTTTCCCTACTCATACAAATAGATAACTAGATTTGTTATTTCTGCAGGTAGGTTTATACAACTGGTAGCAGAACACTACAATTTACATATTACAATTAGGAGTATCAATACAATGTAATTTTATATTACTTTAGGACAATAATAGTAATATGAAGTCGTAGACTTCCGTGGTCAGAGTCATGATCACGCAAATAATAATAATAATAATAATAATAATAATAATAATAATAATAATAATAATAATAATAATATGACAACAATGAAGGCAATAATAACAATAATAACATTAACTCTACATTTTATTGCTGTCTAACTAATGACTTACTAATTATTGAAGTTTACAAATATCATTACTTAATACACTTTTAAATATTTGTACACCTACAGGAAAGGGTTCCATGGCGCAGGCAACTTATTCCAGTCCGTTATCGATTTATTTGTGAAGGAAAATTTTCCATCATCTATTTTCTGTGGCCTGAACTGAATCTTGTGCTCGTGATCTCTACTATGTAAGTTGGTCTATCAACTCGGATGTAGATATCTTTCCAAGCTGGATAACCGGCATACGCTTTGTACAAGGCACATATTCTTGTCTTAAACCTCCAGATTTCTAGAGGCTCCCATTCCACTTTCTTCCTATTTCTTCGGAAAGTAAGTTTACACGTAAGCCAATACTCTATTAAAATAGTTCTTTTGCAACTTTCTATAAGTGTCCCAGTAAATCGCCCCGTATTCTATTAACGGACGAACTAGAGATAAGTAAGCTAATTCTCTCGCCTTTTCAGTATTCTTTTTTAGTATTGGCATAGTAAAATGCAAAGACCTCCAGGCTTTCCCTACGACAAAGTTTACCTGATTATTCCAACTCAATTTACAATCAAAAATTATTCCCAGGTACTTACAAGACAAGACTCTTGGAATATGTTCGTTGCCTAAACGGTATTGAGGCTCTAACTAAACGTGATGGTTTTGCTTTTCGAACTAATGCCTACATGCACCAGACATCCGCATATACAGGGAGCTTAGAGCTTGCAACGACTGGGGTGACGTACCTAATGTGCAAATGTTGAGATGGCCCCTTGTTTTGCTTATGGACATGAAATGTATTTAACTTCATTGCGTACGTTTTGTTGAACTCTCCTTTTGCTAGTAGTGGAAGGAGTAGAGCCGGGGAGTATTTCTATTTTGCTAACAAATCTGTATTTCGATTTATATAATGTTTATCGATGTAAATAAGTTTTCTATAACTCGGGAGCGAAAATATTGAGTTTTTGAAATGTTGCCAAACTCACGCTTTTTTAAATTTATATAGAGTGAGGGTGAAAGAGAAAGAGAGAGAGACAGAGAGAGAGCAGAGAGAGGAGAGAGAGCAGAGAGAGGAGAGAGAGACAGAGAGAGAGACAGAGAGAGAGACAGAGAGAGAGACAGAGAGAGAGACAGAGAGAGAGAGACAGAGAGAGAGACAGAGAGAGAGACAGAGAGAGAGACAGAGAGAGAGAGACAGAGAGAGAGATAGAGAGAGAGAGAGAGACAGAGAGAGACAGAGAGAGAAAGAAATCACAAATATTGCGAAGAAATTCCCCAAAATGTTTCCGAGCTTTCATAATGCCAACACAAATATTATGAACAATGTCAATCATTCAAAAGTACGAGTCCTGAACACCGCTGTTGTAAAAATTACATATCCTGCCCTTTACACACATGTAAATATTTGAAATTGTAATATTCACATAGAAAACTTTCATGGGAAACTAGTATTCTGTTACTTTAAAGAGGAAACTTCATGATACTTGTGCTATTGGAACGTTCCATTCATTTCTGCGTCAGTACAGTACAGCTTTAAAAAAATTACAGCTGTCGTACTGGAATTAGGATGGATGTTGCGCACATTACCCATTGTAGTCTTAGAGTAGAGAATCTTTACATTATGACTTTTCGAAGGTTGATTTCTTCTGAGGGATAAACTATCTAACAGTATTTTGTCATGTGGCATTCTAATTGAGCGAATGCGACGAGTTACTTTTTTGTTGGCGTCGGTTTGAAAGTGTGTGCTTTTGTGATCAACCTATTTTCATTTCCCTTATCTAATGGATGAAATGTTCAACAAGTACGTTAAAGAACCCAAAAATATTATAATCTCTTCATTATTGTATATTTATTTAAATTTACATATTGAAAACTAGTCTTTTAGCCCTATCATCTGGTTACATACCCTCGAATGCCACACATGAAGTACTTTATGTGACAACCCAGAACATTTCATTGCATTGTACAAATACTTTCCACTGTACATTGTACTTTTTAATAGTTTAATAACTGAAGTGCAATATTAAATCTCGTGTACATATATCACAAAGTCGGAATGAAACTACCGTACATTTCCTTCCCCATCCCCAAGGAAAACAACTAGCTACGCTATTAGTACCCTATTTCACTTGTTTTTGACAAATTCTTCTCTAACAATTCTCTTTTTCATTCTGTGTTTATGATTACACAATCCAGAAAAACGCACTATTGACGTACGGCAACAATGAAATAGCTACCTGGAAAATTTGCGTAACACATGTAATTTTATCGCATACATTGTCGCTTAATTTCCATTTTGCAAGGGTCGAAGTTAGTCAAGGGTTTGCAAGGGTCAAACCCGGGGGTGTGCTCAATAGGCAGACTCGCGCCATTACCCGTAATGTATCTCTCAGATATAGCTGCTACTTTGTGTGAATGTGAATGATCTAAAGTTCTATTTACTGAAATATGTGTTTCATTTAGTTTGTACGTGTCCCCCAATGCCATTGTTAATCCTATACTGCAGAAATCTTATCGAAATACTTGTAGCGAGAAAGGTGAAAATTGACCAAGAATACCCAAAATCTATTAAACATCTTATTAAATAATTTTAAATACAATTTTCTCAAATGATTTAGGCAAGTTCTAAACATTAATATATTTTACATTTTTTACAAAAATATTCAGAAAGTCTGTCTGTTTTCAGTTTCGGAAGATTCGCATTTTTTACATTTCCCTTCCGATTCCCCCAGCACATCATTTTCTCTCCTTGGCAGGAAATTGTGACAGTCGATCCTAGATACATTCTACCTGACTACATTCTCTGTTGGCACTTTTCATAGACACGACTGAAAATAATGCCATCACATACCGATTACGCCAGGAGCTCAGAATGCATTGGCGCTATTGCACGCAACGTATCAGACAGATATCGCGCAGCGCAGTGATCAAGTTTCAACATCCTAAGGGGAAATTATTCAAAGAAAGGATAAAAATTAAAGGCCAGACGCGCGCCTTCTCAGAAAAGTATAATGAAAGAATACATGAAATATCAGACGACTAATGCATCGCAATAATTGCGGAACATTATATTGCCGTGGCTGGGATCTTACAGATCTATTGCAAGCATTCCCGGGTTAATGATCATTTTAAGGCTAAAATAGATTCAAGAATCTATGTATTAATACGTGAATATGAAAACTTTTCCTCCCGTATTAAGCATATTGCGCGCAAGGAGAGGCATATTTAAAGTTCATATGAAGAAGGAATGCACAAAGATAAGAATTATATAAAGTATTTTGAAATTAGATATATAGATTGATAGATACATGGGCAGGCTGGCAGTCACGCTAACAAAGAGACACGGAGTTTTATTTTGAATGTCATAATCTACAGACTGATGTGTTTTTATACGTTTTATTCAAAGCTTCGCGTTTCAGAGATTGGTACTCCTCTCCATATTTGCATTTGTATACGTGAAAAGCATTTTTAATAAAAATTGTTATAATAATTTTAAGATGTGTTCAATATTATTTTTTACAAAAGTTTCGTAGAACTAATTAAAAATAATGTGCTACAATAATATAAAAAACAGTTATTATTTTAAAGAGAATATTTTATGGACTCAAAATACTTCTTTCAACAGTTTATATTATGTATGGAATGTAGGTCTAAAAATTAAAGTATTTCAGTATCCTTTCATATGCACAAAGGTGAGAAATTTTCGCGGTAAGCTAGTTATGAATTATTGGACCTGGCGCAATGAGCAGCTAAAGTCATTCACTAGGGAAAAATCAAACACCACTCTAAACGAGAACAATGCAGCAATAATAATATAAAATTAATAAGTTTTTTGAAGTTGTTTGAAGTTTTTTTAGTGACCTTCAATTCAATTTTTCGAAGTTCGATTTCTGCAGACGCAAACACACAGGCGAATTATTTGTCTATATTACCATTAAGCCCCGATTATGCCCGAATATATGACCGCAATGCCGGCAATACGAACTGGTATAGCACTGTCACTCGAGAAACACCTTAATCATGAACGGACCAAGAAAAAAACAGCAATAAATATATTAACACTTTCTGCAGATTTACTTACTAATTCAGCTGCAGCTTCAGTGTGTAGATTCATGGCTCTGTTCCTTGTGAGCCCTGAAGGGCCAGGAGCAGCCTCGGCTTCATACATTTGCCCGAAATGCGAAGGCGCACTGCCACAGGAGCTGAAGCGCACCACACCCGCACCACGCGCACTGTGCAGTCGAGTGACGGCAACACAGGCACGACGCCTTCCACGATAGTGGTGCAGGGGGTGGGAGGTGTCAGTTTATCTTACGGCAGCGACAATTGGCCGCGCAACATCTTTTCCCCTTCTTATGTAGAGGAACCAACCTTGTCAAACACTACCAACGTAATCCTATCTATAACTCGGTAAAGAAGAGAAAAAATGTTTCCCAAAGGCGCCACTAAGTGTCCAATAAAAAACATATTTTTTGTTGCAAAATTTGAATAAAAAATTTGAGTATTTAATATATGATATGAATATTATAATTACGCCATGACGTTTTTGATAGTTCGTATAGTATTATGGTACACCTCACTCGTCACTGTTGCATAGCAACAATAATGACGCGTGATGACGTAAGGCGTGTCAATTATCCAGTGCCATCTAGGTGAAACACCCGGAACTACATATTCTATACATATTCTATATTGATTCTCTCCAAAACTTAAAACTATTCAATTGAAATAAAAAAGGATAATCATAAAATAAAAGAAAAATATTTGCAGACAATGATTAAATATAAGTTTTGCTCTAGTTTTTCTTGGTTCATTCAAGGAGAAATAACAAAAATACTGCTGCGGCCACACATTGTAGATACAAACGAGTTAGTAAGTAAATCTGCAGAAAGTGCTGATATCATTATTGCAATTTGTTTCTCAATTCTTTCATAATTAATGCCAGAAAAGAGACCAAGTATACCCAAACAATTCGTATCATCCAAACTGAGAGATCTGATGAATATCACGAACGACTCAGTTCTTCCATCAAGGATTGATAACAATGTCACCTATTCGGATATAAATTTGTATTTATACAGCACAACAGCATATCTCGTTAAATTAAATGTGGGTAACCAAAAAGAAACACAAGCGAATCGTCAGTGTCCGAAAATAAATAGAGGAAACCATAATGGGAGAAGACTTCAGAACAAAACATAACTCGAGTTGAAAGCTGACGCCGGAATAATAACAGCCTATATCAACAACAGAACCAAGAGAGTCGAGATAAAAATTCATGCTATTAACAAAACGCTCAGTAAACACGCTCATTTGATAAACCAAATATCATACTGTCTGAAGTGGTAGACACAATGAAAAATTGAGCGCGTATGCAAAACCGTCAAGACAGAATATCAGAAGAGAAAGGAGCATAATATCAATTTGAAAAGAGATTAGAAAGCGTTCTCTAAATATTTACACATTCAAGACACTGAGAAGAAATTGATGCCAACAAAAGAAGAAATCGAAGGCTACGAGGGAGGTATATGGTCGGCGGAAATTAACGACAATGCTGAATCAAGGTGGTTGGAAAAGATTCGCAAATCAACAGAAACGATTCTACTCACGGAGAGCTTCCAAATGGAAACAAAACCTATCCTTATCAAACCAAAGAATTGAAAGAGCCCTGCAAGCGATAAAATGCATAATGTTAGGCTTAAGAATTTATCAACATTGTGTAGAAAGTTTGTTAATTGTATGAATGCTTTTATTGAAGTATCCCAATTAGTTGGCCACAGGTGTGGCGTATCTCACACCAAAGCACTCTAGGAGTCGTAATTCGGCAAGTAATAGGCCTAAAATCTGTTTGAACACGTTCTTCAAACTCTTGGCACCATGTGTGTTCAAGATCCCAGAAGATCGCTGTAGTGGTAACAATATTCTAGCAGGACAACAAAAAGGGCGTAAGAAGAATCGCTAGGATGTAAAGATCAGCTAATTATTGACTCCGTAATCTTGAAACAATCTAGTAATAAGCAAAGAAATCTATTTTCAGCGAAATCTATTTGCAAACGTCTATTTTCAGCTAATCGATGAGCTAACAACATACAAAATGCATCCCAAGTTGATAGACTTCTGTGTATCCCTCACAACAATGGGGAAGACAAAATAGTATTACAAAACAGAGGAAGTAAGTATTATCACAAATACAATTAACATCAACCGTGGTATCTTCCAATGAGATTGTTTGAGCTCATTTTGGTTTTGCTTGGCTTTGAATCTGCTAGCTATCGTCCTCAATATGGCTATGAGATAAAGTGTCAGCAGTCGTCGTACAGACTTTCCCATCTGACATATATTGATGATGTATCAAGAGCAGCTTCACCTAAATCTTTCTGAAGACACTGGAATGTGTTTTGTAGAGGTAAGTGTAGCACGGTTAACGTGATCAGTGGCAAATTCACGAGGGGGCAGGAATACGAGAAGCGATCTTATTAAAACAACAGAATATGATGAAGTGTACAAATATCTTCATACAGAGCAGTCTCGAACTGTAGTCCACTGGGATGTGCAGTAACGTATGACTGCAGAATTCACGAACATGTTTTTAAAACATCCTTGAATTCGCGAAGTTTACCACTGCAAAAAATACATACGCTGAATAGCGTGATACTCTATTGGTTTAATAAAATTAATTCAGAACGTGAAGCAATGGATATACAGACTGTCAGGGGAGAAAATGTCAATACTTCGAAAATAAGCTCTTCAGACAATTTTAAGCAAATTTTGTCTTTATAAACTGCTTGGATATTTCGAATGGCTACGTCGCTGCAAGTACTCAAAATTTGGTTTGAAAAAATGCTTTTTATGCAAAAATTTGCATTGCGGAAGCATAGGAACACTCAAGAAACGTGTACATTGTTTATTATTTTGAAAAGTAATTAATATATTAGTTGAGAAAGAAAAAATAACACAGAAATTAAAAAAAAAGTCTTACGATGTTTTTTCACAGCTTTTTTTTCTGTTTTCGAAAAACTTCATTTTAAATCATCTTCATCTTAAACAATGCAATTAGCATTATCCGTTCGAAACGTTTGAAGAAACAATTTGGAGCTGTTTTTAAGAAAATGGCTTTTGAGCATTTCTGAAAATGTGGAATTTTAAGCTAGTTTTAACAGAAAATGGTAGAGTTTTCGGAAAACTTTGACATTGTTTAAAGCACTTTTACTCATAAATACATTAATGTGAACAAATTTCCGCTAATATAAAGATTAACAACGTGAGAGATAAGTTAAAAAACAAAAAAATAGAGCTATATGGCGTTTATGTCACCTTATAGAGTGCATTTAGCAGTATCCCCACTTAAAGTTTAAAGAAAAAAATTGAAGCAGTTTTTGAGAAAATCTTATTTTTGTAATCTTTTAAAATTGCTAATATGCTCGCAATATTGCGTGAAAACGACTGAAATTTTCAAACAATTTACATGACCTTAATAAAAGAACTCATTATGGAAAACAACTTCTATTGAAAGGAAAAATCTCTATCTTCAGTTTTGTAGTTGTAAGAAGTCGCCTGAAAATTTTTGAAATTTTGAAATTTTTGAAAATTCAGAGTTAAACCGGAAAATCGGACCTATGCCGCCATTAAAAGTGTATTTTACTCTATTCCTACAAGAAATTTTAAGAAAAAATTTAGACCCGTTTTTGGAGAAAATTTTCGAATTGCCCGGGGGCTTCATAGAAAGACCCCCACAGTTTTAAAAATTGTTTTCAATATCTCTAAGCTTTGACGCGAGCCATATGGACAGGAGTTTATTCAATTTTGAAAAAATCCTTCATATGGTTTAATCGATAGTGCTGTTCACCGACGGACAGGCGGACGTTTAAAAAAAACCGCTTTTCCGGTATCAGGGGACACCAAAACGTGCATTTCCGTTGATTTTCCAGACCTTCACTTATATTTCCCTATACTACGTGTAACACTCCATGTATACGCATATATACGGGAAAGTAAAATGTTCGTCTCATAAATTGAGCACAAGCATGTATGACAAATCATGAGCTGCACACATTACAATAGGTACTAAATACGGTGCATAAATACAAATTCAAAGCAATTGAAAGATAATGTTAATGTAATTTGTAATAGAATTGAATGCAGTACAATAAGTTTGCATACAATGAATATTAGTTTTATAAATGGCGGCCCAAAAAGAGTAAAATAAAAAACTAAATTGTTTTCAAAAGCGTTTTAAGCGTCGGATGTGACAGCCTTTTCATCCATAGATCATTTTTTGGGACGTCCAACATGGAATAAAATACGCAAAGTTATTAGTAAGGCAGGTTATATTGCCTGCAGATGAATATTTCTCTTGTTGATATTTTTAGGTCGCATTACCAGCTAGGTCATTAGCGACGAGTACTGCATTTAACGGTATGGAAACTGTGAAGATGATATGATATGGTGATGATAGGGGGTGAAAGGAGAAACACAAATACAACCATGCCCAAGGCGGGACTCAAACCCCCGATCCTTCAGTCCGAGATCGCAACGGCACTCTATTACGTTAACTGCCTTAATAATCTCGGCCATCCGGGCCTTCAGATGCACATTTATGATTTTCTTTTGTACCATAGAATGTATTATGTTGTTCTGTAAATTATGGAGCGTGGCGTTGATATGTAGCCGAAATACGAGTATACATCCTAGGATTGATCCCTAGGGAACTTCATAATTTTTCATTCTAAGTTGGGAAGAATGCACTGAAATCCTTCGATTTCTAACATGCTTGATTGTTATACTTGATAAAGATTTGAAAAGTAATATTTAATAGATTGATACGCAATACCTCTAATTCCCAAAGTTTTAAGCTTTGATAACTTTGTGATATATAAACCAATTTATAAACAAACCAAAGAAACTTTCTTTACGATGTGGAGCAACAACTATGTGTTACAGAAAGAAATTGAGAGCTGGGTTTGTAGATTTGCAATTTGTAATTCCAAGTTGGACCTTTACAGATTATTTTTTACAGAAAACAGTTTTGAATCTATCAATGAAAAGTTTTTATAAAATTATTGAAACTCCAGTTAGTAAAGTCATTGTTCCGTAATTCATTCGTGGCCGCGAGTGTTGCCTTTTTTGAATAGTGGCGTAAACTTTGTTTTTTGAGAATTTCTGGGAAGA